GGTGTTCGTGTTTTAGATTTGGGGCATACTAATAGGTGTGTAGTGACATCTCACTGTTGCTTTCATTTGTAATCCCCTATGATGTCAAACATCATTTCATATGCTTTCTTGCCATCTGCATCTCTTCTTCGGTGAAGTGTCTTAGTCTTTTGCCCATTTTTAAATTGGCTCATTTGTTTTCTTGTTGTTGAGTTGTAAGAGGTCTTTGTTTACTTTTGGACACATTTTATCATACATGTCTTTTGCAAATATCTTATCACAAATGAGAAGACTGGGAGAAGTCTTCTCATTCTCTTGATAAAAGTAATTTTAAGGAGTATGAATATTAACATTTATGTCTAACTCATTTAGATCCAAAAAAATTTAAGGTGGTCTAAATGTTTAACATTAAGTAATACTGAATAATAATCAATGTTCACTTACGTGTATGATACTTTGTATTACTTCTTTTAAGCTGGAAGTCTTGCTGTATTACTCTTATAATTTAGTATAACATTACTACTGATTTTTTTCAATTATGTATAGATATAGCTCAAAAAATAACTTTAGTATTAAGGAGTAATATATTTGCCTCAAACAATATATTAAATATTAAAATTTTGTTAAAGAAAATACCACGTTCACAACTGCAACTAAATTGTCTAAATAGAATGCTAGCCCCATGGGGTGAAAGATATACATCGACATCATGCCATAAATATTGTCTGGAAAACACACAATGTGTTGTTCAGATTTAATTAATATAATATATTTCATTGTATGCCATTATATGAGGAAGAATGCTTAAATGAAACAAGCAATAAAGATTCACTTGGTATAAAGTTTATTTAAAATAAAAACATAATAAAGTTTTAGGAAAAATATGAATTTAAAAAATTGGTTGCTTTTTCAGATCACGAAAATACTGATACACGTGTATTGAAATACCTTAAACTGTTGAAGTGTTAGAGAAACATTTTTCAAAAAACAAAAAAAGTTGGAGGAGACACACAATATAAAAGAATGAAGGTACTGATATATGTCACACTTGTTTTAAAATGACCACACAGGCAGAACCTACACAAGAATTAAATTCTTTAAAAATACAGAAATGCTAGAGATTCCCCTAATAGTGTTAATGGCATACATAACATTCCAAATCAAATAACTAACAAAAATTTAATTCACATTCAGTTAAAACAAAAACAATATGAGTCATGTGAAACTGAGTTTTTGTTAAGCACTGACAAACCTTTTAGCATTAAAAAGTCTCCTGTACATCTAGGAAGAGTATACACACATGAATTATCTGAGAAGTAGAAAACTATGGATTAGAATTTTAGAGGCGGACTTGAAACCTAAGACATGGAAGAACTGTTGCTCTGCAGTTTTTAATTGTTCTGAGAGTTTTCTCTATGTATTCGCTCAGAGGGCATTAAAAGATGCAAAACTTGGGGCCGGGCACGGTGGCTCACGCCTGTAATCCCAGCCCGTAGGGAGGCCGAGGCGGGTGGATCAACTGAGGTCAGGAGTTTGAGACCAGCCTGGCCAACATGGCAAAACCCTGTCTCCACTGAAAATACAAAAATTTGCAAGGTGTGGTGGCAGGTGCCTGTAATCCCACCTACTCAGGAGCCTGAGGCAGGAGAATCGCTTGAACCTGGGAGGCGGAGGTTGCAGTGAGCCATGATCACTGCACTGCACTCCAGCCTGGGGGACAGAGCGAGACTTCTGGGAAAAAAAAAAAAAAAGATGCAAAACTTTGACACAGCAGGCCGGTGTGGTGGCTCATGTCTGTAATTCCAGCACTTTGAGAGGCCGAGGTGGGCGGATTGCTTGAGCTCAGGAGTTGGAGACCACCATGGGCAACATGGTGAAATCCTGTCTCTACAAAAAACACAAAAATTAGCCAGGTGTATTGAGGCGCACCGGTAGTCCCAGCTACTCAGGGGGCTGAGGTGGGAGGATCGCGGGAGCCCCGAGGTTCAGGTTGCAGTGAGTTGTGATTGTACCACTGCACTCCAGCCTGGGCGGCACGGCAAGACCTTGTCGCAAAAACTTAAAAATATAAATATTTTGACAGAGCCAAAGTTTGCGCTCTCTTTAACTTTTTTTCATTATCAAAAGAGAATATTCTATATAGAATTGTCTGTCCTACAGAAGGTATAACCTTGTAAATGTGTATTTGTCTTTTTTAACCCAGTTCTCCTTTTATATCCACATTTTACTCATTTCTTAATTGTAATAAAGTGGAAAACTGATCTAATTATATATAAAACCTTGTGTCAAAATAGATTTAATGATTAACACTAATCAATTGCCGGAAGACAAAACACAAACAAAACAGATAAACCAAACAAAACAACAAATCTACCACCAAACTTACAACAGAAATAGCAAATGGTGAAAGCAACAGAAATATATGTGACTGATACAATGTTGAGATACTTTCCTTCAATCATTACAAGCATTTGTCAATAACAATTCTATCATATTTTACGTTTTATATTTAAAGTATCATGATCTCCACATTGGATGCTTTATAAATATCACAATCTTAATGGTGAATTCTAGACTCATTCAAGTTAGAGCAACTGCTTTACACAAAATGATAGCAGTAGACAAATCTAGGCAGCTGCTTGGGTGGCTGGCATTGTCACAGGTTCTGAAGCTAGCTTGCAGTTAGAATTTTGGGAGTCAATAGAAGTAAATGAATTCATGGAATATTTCAAATTATGATTCAGTAAAAGATACATACATATCTCATAATTCTATTCATCATAAATGTGTTTCATATGTATATGAGAATACATCTAAATATATGTAACATGTACATATATAAATGTACGTATATATGAGAAATGCTTGTACATTTCTGTCCCAAACTTAGAATTACGTACAAGATCCCTGAATTTCATAATTTGAGGCAGTGTAATTTTATACGCATGACATGGGACTAGAAAAGTGTGCTCACTCATTCTAAACCCAGTTGTCACCAACCTGCTAGATTTTGGGCAAGCTATTCTTCCATGCCTTAGTGTGATTATAGCAAAGTAGAATTTGCCTGTAGCCCTTTAAAGAGGATTAAAATAAGTGCAAAGTGCGCAGTCACATGAGCAAAAGTGCTTATGTAAAGCCAAGACACAACAAACAGCAAGATTTTTATACGCAACCTGGATAACTTTTAAAAGCAAGTTAGATTTCCTAATTAAATGTAAATGTTGCTAGATGATTTACTTGCAACACACAACAAAGAGACTGAGGATCTAAAAGGATAAAGTCTTTGGCAGTCTGTAATGATTAAGGACTTACTTTTATCTGCCTTAAAATGATGCATCTTAAAAGAGAGACATACACTGACACATGCACTGTAATCTGATTTATACTTTCTAAACTTTTAATTTGGTAGGCGTTATCAAACATGTGGGTTTGCAGTCTCACTCTTGTAAAAATTATAAAACAAAATAAATAATGACCATTTATAAATGATCCTAAATGATAAGAAAATGTAATGCCTGGAAAAAACATAAAGCACAGAAATTTCTATTCTATTTTCCAGGAGTATGTTATTTCTTGAGCTCCTGGAAGAGGAAACAAACTCACATATCCCTACATACCCACCCAGATAAATTTGTGTGCACATACTCCAGAAATTCATAGCTTATATGCTGCTACATTCTTAAGGAAAAACTGGTTATACATATGATTTAGAAGAAGAGACAAAGAATGGGTTTAAATGATTACGGTGTTTTCCTTTTGTGTTCAGACATATTAAGAGATGCAAAAGGTTTCTGGTAACGTTAATCAATATTATTTTAAGAGGAGAAAAGCAAATTACTTTTTCCAGATTCTCAAACTATTATTTATGAAGTTTAACAAATCTCAAAATAATCATATGTAGTTATATAGGGAGATAATTTTACAACAAAGATGGGAGTATTTACTAATCAGTAACAGGGGCAACTTCATTAAGTTCTAGTGTCTCCTAGATTTGAGGTCTGTTTGTTTATTTGATAGCATAACAACCCTTGCAAATCCTTTTCATTGCAACCCTGTATCCTCTGAAGAACTAACTTCACAGCAAATAGTATTTTTTAGAACAAGAAAACTACTGACCTCACTATCTATAATAAAACATGTCTGACAGCAAGAGTTAAGAATTAAACCCTGCAAAATATGATGACTGCTATGCAGTAATTTAACATATAAAACCAAGTGATTATATTAAGGTCACAGATTTATACTGAAATGTCAAATTCTGTGAAGTATTTCTAACCCCCCGCCAAAAAAATCCTAAGAAAGAGTCCAATATATTTTTGGATAATTTTTTTTTTTTTTTTTTGAGACGGAGTCTCGCTCTGTCACCCAGGCTGGAGTGCAATGGTGCAATCTCGCCTCACTGCAACCTCCACCTCCCAAGTTCAAGCGATTCTCCCGCCTCAGCCTCCCCAGTAGCTGGGATTACAGGCACCTACCATCATGTCTGGCTAATTTTTTTTGTATTTTTGTAGAGATGGGGTTTCACCATGTTGGCCAGGCTGGTCTCAGGTGATCCACCCACCTCTGCCTCCCAAATTTCTGGGATTACAGGCGTGAGCCACTGCACCCAGCCTGACTTTGGATAATCTTAATGGTTGGACATTCTTGCTTTTTAAATATTCAACACAAGAAATCTACAACCTTTATCTGTACAAAGGATCCACAGAGTTCACTAATTCTACCTATGCTCTTTATAACAAAGATTTTTTTGAACTATTAAAAAAAATTACAAAAAAGTGCTTTCTTCTTAACTGCAAGGATATAGAGTCAAAAAATCTCTTGTCAAGCTGATAATGGTCAAATTCAGGTCCAAGATGCAGACAGAACTACTGTGGTATAGTACATGGACTTATTCTTCCTTTATTCCTTGCAGTTTGTCATAAAAAGTTGGATAGTCATGTCTTTTTTGGTTTAGGGAGAACAAACCATTCAAATAACATGAATTTCTCCTTCTCCTCCTTCTTTTTTTAATTTTTTTTTTAATTTTTGAGATGGAGTCTTGCTCTGTCTCCCAGGTTGGAGTGCAGTGGCGTGATCTCAGCTCACTGCAACCTCCGCCTCCCAGGTTCGAGCAATTCTCCTGCCTCAGCTTCCCAAGTAGCTGGGACTACAGGCATGCCCCACCATGCTTAGCTAATTTTTGAATTGTTAGTAGAGAACGGTTTTCACCATGTTGAGCAGGCTGGTCTTGAACTCCTGGCCTCCCAAAGTACTGGGATTACAGGCATGAGCTACTGTGCCCGGCCTATCAAATAACACAAATTTCTTATACCAAGATGGCAAGGTAGTCAGTGAGATGGGAGAGACATAGATTTTTTAAATACCCTAAATCCTTTTGTGTACCCAGGATATGGAGGTGGTGGTGAAACACTGTGTTTTCGGGTCAGTGCCACTGCCTGTTCATAAGAAGGTAATCCTGCGTCCTCCACAGAAGGCGGCAATGGAGACAAGGCAGCCTCCTCATGTCTTCTGAAAATGATGGAGGGAGTGTGCCTCCCCCTTTCATAGACGGCTGAAGAGCTAAGCAGAGAGACAACATTTAGGTCTAGGAAAGGCAGCATTTTTAGGTTGAGATGATGATATTTAAAAATCCAACTGACTATCTTAATAAACATTAAACACAATGTATTAACACGGCTGTTTTATTTTACCCCCAGACTCTGAAAGTCTTGGTACAGTGGAAAGACCAAGAGCTTTGAAGTCAGACATGGGTTTGAAATCTGATCCTGTCATTTCCTAGCTATGTGACCAAAGGCAAGTTACCAACTTCAGTTTTCTCCGCTCTAAAATGGGGCTAATAACAGCTGTCTCCACAGAGTTAGTTTGTGTGGATTGAGCAAGATGCATGGAAAGCTTCTAGCAGTGTCTGGTGCACAGAATAAGGACTCAAAACAAGTGAATTTCCTTTTCTCTTACTCCTGGATTAAAACTTTTTGAAAGTAGGATGTGAAACCAAAACCAAATTCAGGCTTTGTTGAAAGGTGGCACAGTTCCAGACCAAGGAAATAGATGTCACAGAGGTAATCACAACAGGTTGATGCCTGTCCCTCTCCTCCGTTCCCTCCTGCAGTCCTGCTGCCTGGCCAATCCTTCCTAAGCAGTACTTTCTTCATGTCATTCTTCTCAGAAGCCAAACCCGCAGCGTACTTCCGGCTGAGTCAAGTTCTAAGTCCCGTGCCTTCTCTTCAAAGCCTCTTTTATTGCAGCCGCACCTTATTTTTTACAGCTCTCTGCCCTACCAAGGCAGCTTCTTTACACTCCCCTGTATGGGCGGTAAGTTCTCAGCCCTTCTCTGTGCTTTCACTGGTATCATTCCCTTTCTCGAAATATTATCTTTTTCCTTTCTCTACTCTAATCTAAGCCTAACACTTAAAAATATATATATGGCTTCGTTCAAGTCTCACCATTTTCACTAAACCTTGTCAGCCAATGAAATGCAACATGGGTCTGAGGTCTTAAACCTATGGTTTTCCTTTCTCACTTGTGAAGTACAAATTATGATTTAGACATTAATAAATCGATCTATTTAGGCTGTTTATAAAGTATCTATATATACATTAACCTCCTATAGTTATGGCTAATGAAATAATTAAGATGCATAGGGGATGGATAAGCCATTCTCCATGATGTTCTTATTTCACATTGCAGCCCTGTATTAAAACATCTCATGTACCCCATAAATACGTACACCTACTATGTACTCCAAAAAAAAGGAAGAAGGGAAAAAATGCATAGATAACCCCTAACTTCTAGTCAATATTTATAATATTCTTCCCATCAAGAAACAGTTTAGCAGGCCCAAAATACTGCCAGCTTTTCCAAATTAAATCAGTCAATATGTCTCTTAGAGCACCATTTTTCCTTTTCAGGTAATAATGAGATCTGATTTGGAGGGAAAGAGAGAGAAAAATTGCAGAGAAAGAAGAAAAGCAAAAGGTCTGTGTAAATCCAGGAACTGGATAATCGGCCCTTCAATAGTTGAGAGGTGACTGAGAGGATCACAAGTGTACTTAGAGGGCTCAACACAATTCCTCCTCTGTCAGAAGTCTGGAATGTATTCATGGTAGGCAGTCACTTGCCACATTCATTACCTCATGACGAAAAGTTCTATTTGTTGGCTTACAGGATAAAGGAGGAGACAGATATTTCATCTGAATGAATAAATGTTTCCATGTTGACTTTCAAAATTTAATGTATGGAAACAATGTGATAATTACATCAGTCATTAAATATCTACACAGTGTTTTCTTACACGTCACAATCTCACATGACTGAAATCAGAAAGTATGCACTAATATCATCTCCAACTGGCAACATCCTATGATGCCTGTTTCCCTCCACAAAATATAGGAACTAAGAAATGAAAAGGTCTTGTTTTTAATTTCTTGGCTTATTATTATTATTTTTTTTGCGACTGAATTTCACTCCTGTTGCCCAGGCTGGAGTGCAATGGCATGATCTCAGCTCACTGCAACCTCCACCTCTCGGGTTCAAGTGATTCTCCTGCCTCAGCCTCCTGAATAGATGGGATTACAGGTGCTCGCCACCACACCTGGCTAATTTTTGTTTTTTGGTTTTTTTTTTTTAGTAGAGACGGGTTTTCACCATGTTGGCCAGGCTAGTTTTGAACTCCTGACCTCAGGTGATCCACCCATTTCGGCCTCACTCAAAACTTGTGTTGAAACTTAATCCTCTATGCAACAGTATTAGGAGGTGGGGCCTTTGGGGAGGCTTTTAGGTCACGAGGGTCCTGCCCTCATAAATGGATTAATGTTGCTGTAAGAAAGGGTTGCAGGAGTAGTGCCCTCTCTTTCTTCTGCTCTTCTGCCATGTGAGGAACAATGTTCCTCCCCTCTAGAGGATACGGTGTTCAAGGCACCATCTTGGAAGCAGAGACTGGGTCCTTATAAGACATACAACCTACTGGTTCGTTGATCTTAGACTTCCCAGCCTCCAGAACTATGAGAGATAAATTTCTGTTCCTTATAAATTACCCAGTCTCAAGTATTCTGCTATAGCAGCACAAATACCCTAAGATATCCCTATCCTCCCAGCCCAAGGTAATCTCTAATCTACTTTTTGTCTCTATGAATTTGCCTATCCTAGATATTGCCTATCCTAGGCATTACATATAAGTGGAATCATACAATACTTGTTCTTTTGTGTCTGGCTTCTTTCACTTGGTATCATGTTTTCAAGGTTCATCCATATTGTAGCACACATCAGAACTTCATTCTTTTTTATGGCTGAATATTCCATTGCATGGATACACCACATTTTGATGGACACTTGGGCTATTTCCATCAACCCTTTTGTATATTTGAATAATACTACTATGGATATTGGTGTACAAGTATCTGTTTGAGTTCCTGTTTTCAATGCTTTTGAATACAAATCTAGAAGTGAAATTGCTGGGTCATATAGTAATTCTACATTTAACTTTCTGAGGAACTGTCAAACTGATTTCCACAGTGGCTATACCGTTTTACATTCCTACTGGCAATGTGCATATGAGGTTTCAATTTCTCCATATCCTCGCCAATACTTGTTATTTTAAAAATTGTTATGCCAACTATTCCAGAATAGCTGGAATTACAGGTGCATGCCACTGCAGCTGACTCTCACTGTGGTTTTGATTTAATTTTCCTTTCCTTAATGTCTAACAGTGTTGAACACCTTTCAAGTGCTTGTTGGCTATTCATATATTTTTAGAGAAATGTCCATTCAAGTCCTTCATTAAAAAAATGTGGGTTATTAGTCTCTTTGTTGTTTTATCTTTTCTTGAGCTATCTTTAAAATATAAGCTATTTTGGCCAGGTGCAGTGGCTCACACCTGTAATCCCAGCACTTTGGGAAGCCGAGGCAGGTGGATAACCTGAGGTTAGGAGTTCGAGAGTGGCCTGAACCAACATGGTAAAACCCCGTCTCTACTAAAAATATAAAATCAGCCAGGCATGGTGGTGCATGCCTGTAATCCCAGCTACTTGGGAGGCTGAGGCAGAATTGCTTGAACCCAGGAGGCGGAGGTTGCAGTGAGCGGAGATCGCACCATTGCACTCCAGCATGAGCAACAAGAGTGAAACTCTGTCTCAAAAAAATAAATAAAATATGAACCATTTTGTCCTGTCAAATCCAAATTTTGTTTTCTTTCTCCCAGATTCCATATATATTTCTTCAGCACAGAAGCCTAGGTTCAAGTCATATTCTTCCAACACTCCCAAGTTCTTTTTTTTTTTTAATTTATTTTTTTTGAGACGGAGTCTCACTCTGTCGCCAGGCTGAGTGCAGTGGCACGATCTTGGCTCATTGTAACCTCTGCCTCCTGAGTTCAAGCGATTCTCCTGCCTCAGCCTTCCGAGTAGCTGGGACTATAGGCGTGTGCCACCATGCCCAGCTAATTTTTATATTTTTAGTAGAGACGGGGTTTCACTGTGTTGGCCAGGATGGTCTCAATCTCTTGACCTTGTGATCCGCCCACCTCGGCCTCCCAAAGTGCTGGGATTACAGGCGTGAGCCACTGTGTGCAGCCCCAAGTTCTTTCTAATCAGGCATCAAGTTCTTCAGCTTCTTTTTCCTTGAAGACAGGTCCAAACTCATGACCTCACATCTGAATTACCACACCAACATCCTTGTTGGTTTTCCTCTGTCTTCCAGTTTCTCCCAGCTCTAGTACACATTACTTAAGAAAACCAGAGTATAAGAGCCATGGGGGCAGGCACTATGCTTGTTTTACTCACCACTGTGTTCCTAGAACCTAGCATATTACCACATTTTCAAAAACCTTCCCCAAAGGCTATTTTTCCTTTTAATCCTCTTCTTAAGTGGTCCACCTCATATCTGGCAACTCAAATGTAAATTCATGGCTGCCATTCCAATGATCCAACAATTTCCCCAGTCACTCACTACTCTTTATCGCAGCTCTTAAATCTCTGGTCAAGGGCTTGGCCCCATGGCTCATGCCTGTAATCCTAGCACTTTGAGAGGCAGAGGCAGGAACACTGCCTGAGGCCAGGAGTTCCAGATCAGCCTGGGCAACATAGTGAGATCCTGTCTCTATAATTATTATTATTATCATTATTATTTTTATTATGAAGACAGGGTCTCTCTCCCAGTGTCCAGACTGGAGTGTAATGGCATGATCACAACTCACAGTAGCTTTCACTTCACTTCCTGGGCTCAGGTGCTCCTCCCACCTAAGACCGCCTAATAGTTGGGTATAAAGGCACGCACTACCACACCTGGCTAATTTTTGTTTTGTATTTTTAGTAGAGATGGCATTTTGCCATGTTGCCCAGGCTGATCTCAAACTCATGGGCTCAAGCGATTTTCCTGCCTTGGTCTCCCAAAGCTGGGACTACAGGCACGAGCCACTGTGCCTGGCCTTGGCCTACAATTATTTTTTAGAAAAATCTTTAGTCAAGACTATTTTGCTTATCATCTCCTATATGAGCCTTGGTAGTACCCATTCCTGTGGGTCCACTTTCTTGAAACACCCCTTCCTAGTTAATTCCTCTAAAACC